GTCTCCTGAGTAGTGGGAGATACAGTTTTTGTGGAGGAAGGAGCTTGTCTGTGCAAGTGGACACCCCAGCCACACACACACATATAAATTTTTCACTTTTATTTTGTGTATATAATTCCTTCCAATTTTCTAATTATTATTATTTATTGCCAGGTGTACGTTGGATTAGATGACCCTTGGGGTCCCTTCCTATTATTATTATTATTATTATTATTATTATTAGTAGTAGTAGTAGTAGTAGTAGTAGTAGTAAGAGTATTCCCTGTGTTGGATTAGTTGATCCCTTGAGTTCCCTTCCAATTCTTCTTCTTCTATTATTATTATTATTATTATTATTATTATTATTATTATTATTATTATTATTATTTCTGGGTATGCGCTTTGGATTTGTTGATCTCTTGAGTTCCCTTCCTATTATTATTATTATTATTTCTGGGTATGCTTTGGATTTGTTGATCTCTTGAGTTCCCTTCCTATTACTACTACTACTACTACTAGCCATCTCCTGCCAGGTGTACAGCGGATTTTGAGTTATGATGTCACTCAAAATGAACAGAGCATTTTTATATATAGATTATTATTATTGTTGTTGTTGTTGTTGTTGTCAGGTATATGTTGGATTAGGTGACCCATTGAGTTACCTTACAATTTATTGTTGTTGTTTCTGCTGGGTATGTGCTGGATTAGTTGATCCCTTGAGTTCCCTTCCAATTTATTATTATTATTATTAGTAGTAGTAGTAGTAGTAATAATAATAGTAATAGTATTGCCACGTATGCGTTGGATTATATGACCCTTAAGGATCCCTTCCTACATTATTATTTCATTTACATTTTATATTCCATAGCATTATATAAATATTTGAAATATAAATAATATATATATATTATTTATGAAATGTATCAGTCAAAACTGTTCTATCGTCATTATTATTATCATTGTTATTATTATTTATTAATACTCATCATAATAATATCCCACTTTCCCCTTAAGCATATGATCAATAATAATAATAATAGTAATAATACTATTCAGTCCTGACCTTTCTCTCATTGCTTTAGATTGATTTTTAAAATAATGTGTGCTGCGTATTAAAGGGGGGGACGGACTGCTGTCCTTCCCAGTTGACTCAGCAAACCAGTTTCCTCCCATTTTGGCCACAATCAGATGTTATTGGACCCCCAATTTGAACTGGTTTCCCCCTGTGGAGGATAGGCCTGGGGGATTCTAATGGAGGGCAACAGACGCCATTATGTTTCCCTTTACCTTTCGTCCAGGACCTGAGTTCGAATCTCTCCCTGGATGCCTTTGGTTCATCGGTTTCTCCCTGGAGAAATCCTACATGGGTCGTGGAACAAAAGCAGGATGTCAGGATATTATTATTATTAGTTTGCAGCCCATTGACTCCCCTGTCTGGTATCTCTGGTATTTTTCGGAGGGGAAGCCAGCCTTGGGGGGTCCCTCCTCCGCACGTGCTCCCCACTGTTTCTCATATCCCCCCATTGTTTTCTCGCCCTCAGCTGAACCCACCAAGCCAGACTGTTACTCCCAGCATTCCTTGGCAGGCCCTACCACTCACTCCCACCGTAGTGCCCCCCCCCCAACAAAGAGATTCCAATGGCTTTGTAGAACTACAACCCATAATAATAATAATAATAATAATAATAATAATTTCTAACCTGCCTCTCCATATGTCTCGAGAATAATAATAATAATAATAATAATAATAATAATAATAATAATAATAATAAATTGGAAAGGACCACACCGACACATACTGGGCAATAACAGCAACAATAATAATATTGGAAGGGAGCTCAAAGGGTCTAATCCAACACATACCTGACAACAACAACAACATCATCAATAATAATAAATATTGGAAAGGACCTCAAGGGGCCATCCAATCCAATGCATACCGACAACTATAATAATAATGGTGATGATGATGATGGAAGGGATCTCAAAGGTCATCTAATCCAACACATACCGGATAGTAATAATAATAGATTGGAAGGGACCTCAAGAAGTCATCTAATGCAATGCATACCTGAAGATAATAATAATAATATTAATAATAATAAAAATTTCTTTCTAACCTGCCTCTCCATATGTCTTGAGGATTATTATTATTATTATTATTATTATTATTATTATTGTCAGGTATGCATTGGATTAGATGACTTGAGGTCCCTTCCAATGTATTATTATTATTATTATTATTATTATTATTATTATCCAGTATGTGTTGGATTAGATGACCTTTGGGGTCCCTTCCATCATCATCATCATCATCATCATCATCACCATCATAGTTGTTGGAATGCATTGGATTGGATGACCCCTTGAGGTCCTTTCCAATATTTATTATTATTGATGATGATGTTGTTGTTGTTGGCAGGTATGTGCTGGATTAGATTACCCTTTGAGGTCCCTTCCAATATTATTATTGTTGCTGTCATTGCCCGGTATGTGTTGGATTAGATGACTTTTAGGGTCCCTTCCAATTATTATTATTATTATTATTATTATTATTATTATTATTATTATTATTATAGATGAGCTCCCTCTATCAGCTCCAGCTCCTCATACGGGGACATGAGAGAAGCCTCCCACAAGGATGATAAAAACATCAAATCATCCGGGTGGCCCCTGGGCAACGTCCTTGCAGACGGCCAATTCTCTCACACCAGAAGCGACTTGCAGTTTCTCAAGTCGCTCCTGACACAACCAAAAATCATCATCATCATTGTTATTGTTGTCAGGTATGCATCGGATTAGATGACCCCTGGAGGACCCTTACAATTTTTTATTATTATGCATTGGAATAGATGACATTTGCAGTCCCTTCCAATTTTATTATTAAGTCAGATATGTGTTGGATTAGATGCCCTCTTGAGATCCCATCCAATTTATTATTATTATTATTATTATTATTATTATTATTATTGCCACAGAAACACAATATGACACAGCACACGGGATATATATGCTGGATTTCGTATCACAAAATCACAAGTCGAACACTTCCTAAGCATTTAGGATTGTTATTATTGTTGTTATTATTATTATTATTATTGCTAGGTATGCGTTGGATAAAATGACACTTTGGGGTCCAGTCCATTTTTTTATTATCATCATCATCTTCATCATTGTTATTATTGTTATTATAGTTGTTAGGTATGTGTTGAATTAGATAACCCCTAGAAGTCCCTTCCTATCATTACTACTACTACTACTACTACTACTGCTACTACTATTACTATTGCCAGGCATTTGATTAGATGACGCCTTGAGATCCCTTCCAATTATTATTGTTGTTGTTGTTGCTGGGTAAGCGCTGGATTAGATGACTGTTTCTTTTGGGCGGTTATATCAATACTCAATTTAGGGAGTCTCACATTTCTTTTGGGCATTTATAACAATACCCTTGCTTGTTTTTGGTGGTGACACCAATACTCAACTTTTCTTTTGGTCGGTAATATCAATACATTTCTTCTGGGCAGTTATATCAATACTCAGTTTTGGGAGTGATAACAATCCTCACACTTTTCAGGCATTTATATCAATATTTTTAGATAGTTATATTAGTACATTTCTTTTGGGTGGTTATATTTACTCAATTTTGGTGACTACTATTCAGTTTTCTTTTTGGTGGTGATATCAATACCCAATTTTGGAAGTGATATCAACCCTCATATTTATTTTTGGGCGTTTGTATCAATACCTTTCTTTGGGATGGTTATATCAATACTCCATTTTGGGAGCCTCATATTTCTTTTGAGTGTTTATATAAATACCCGCGGTGGTGCAGTAGTTTAAACCGCTGAGCTGCTGGATTTGCTGACTGAAAGGTTGCAGGTTCAAATCCGGGAGGGCGGTGTCAGCCCTAACTTCTGCCAACCTAGCAGTTCGAAAACATGCAAATGTGAGTAGATCCCTCCGGCGGGAAGGTAAGGGCGCTCCATGCAGTCATGCTGGCCACATGATCTAGGAGGTGTCTAGGGACATCGGCTCTTCATCTTAGATGAGCACCAACCCCAAGAATAAGACACGACTGGACTTAATGTCCGGGGAAAACCTTTAATTTTACCTTTATCAATACCTGGGTTGCTGTAATTTTTTTCCAGGCTGCATGGCCATGTTCCAGAAACATTCTCTCCTGATGTTTCACCTGCATCAATGGCAGGTATCCTCAGAGGTTGTGAGGGTTTATATATCTGTGGAATGATGTCCAGGGTGGGAGAAAGAAATCTTTGTCTGTTGGAGGTAGAAGTGAATGTTTCAATTGGCCACCTTGATTAGCAATTTATTTCCCAGCAATTTCAAGGTATTATTATTATTATTATTATTATTATTAATATATCTGTGGAATGTCCAGAGTGGAGAAAGAACTCTTGTCTGTTGGAGAGAGGTGTGAATGTTTCAATTGGCCACCTTGATTAGCATTTTATTTCCCAGCAATTTCAAGGTGTTATTAATAATAATAATAATAATAATAATAATAATAATAATAATAATAATAATATATCTGTGGAATGTCCAGGGTGGAAGAACTCGTCTGTTGGAGATAGGTGTGAATGTTTCAATTGGCCACCATGATTAGCATTTTATTTCCCAGCAATTTCAAGGTGTTGTTGTTGTTGTTATTATTAATAATAATAATAATAATAATATATCTGTGGAATGTCCAGGGTGGGGGAAAGAACTCATGTCTGTTGGATCTAGGTATGAATTAGCCAACTTGATTAGCATTTAATGGCCCAGCAGTTTCAAGGTTGTGGCTTCTTACTGCCTGGGGGAATCCTTTGTTGAGAGGTGATGATTAGCTGTCCCTGATAGCCATAGAGCCCAAAAAAATTACAGCAACTCTTCGACAATATAGCAATACCCTTGGTTGTTTTTGGTGGTGACATCGATACTCAATGCTTCTTTTTGGCGGCCATATTGTTTTGGAAGGGTCCCCTCACTCACGTGTCTCTTTTTTCCTGTCCCGGCAGGTACAAGAGCCTGGTGACGGGGAAGCGTGCGCGGGGCATCATCGCCATGCTGTGGCTGCTCTCCTTCGGCATCGGCCTGACGCCGCTGATTGGCTGGAACCAGCGGTCCACCGTCAACTGCACCAACGGGACGGTCCGGTGCCTCTTTGAGGAGGTGGTGCCCATGGACTACATGGTCTACTTCAACTTCCTGGGCTGCGTGCTGCTCCCGCTGGCCCTGATGTTGGGCATCTACGCCAAGATCTTCCTGGTGGCCTGCCGGCAGCTGCGGCAGATGGAGCTGGCGGGCAACTCACGCACCACGCTTCAGCGGGAGGTGAGCGCCGCCAAGTCGCTGGCCATCATCGTGGGGCTCTTTGCGCTCTGCTGGCTCCCGCTCCACATCCTCAACTGCCTGAGCCTCTTCTGGACGGGCTTTGCCAACCACAAGCCCCACTGGGCCATGAACCTGACCATCATCCTCTCCCACGCCAACTCCGCCGTCAACCCCATCATCTACGCCTACCGCATCCGGGACTTCCGAGGGACTTTCCGACGCATCCTGGCACGGTACCTGCTCTGCAAGGACGAGGACTTCCCCAAAGGCGTCAAAGGGGGGGACGGCAGTGGCGGCGGCGGTAGCAGCCGTCAGCTCGCCGTCAGCAACGTCAGCACGTCACTGGCTTTCCTCTGAAGCGGCAGCCTCATATCCTGCAGCCCTTGGCCTATTCCACGATTCGGAGATTCGTCGGATTGTCTTGTGACAACGGCCACAAACAACCATCTCACCGCCAGCAACGTCAGTACATCACTGGCCTCAAACCAGTGAAGGCTCTTCTGCGATTCGGAGGCCCAAACAACTAGAGGAGCGTTGTCGTCGGGTTGTCTTGGGACAATAGTCACAAACAACCATCTTGCTTTCAGTACGTTGCTGGCCTTGAATGCTGTGGCCCTTCGGCTGCTTTGGACTCCAGCTCCCAGCATTCCTGGCCACTGGACAAGCTGGTGAAGACACTTCTGCGATTTGGAGGCCCAATCATCTGGAGGAACGTCGCTGTCCGATTCTCTTGTGACATCTGTCACAAACAACAATCTCATTGTCAGTACGTCACCAGTTTCTAATGCTGTGGCCCTCCGGCTGCTTTGGACTCCAACTCCCAGCATTTCTCGCTGGTGGGCAAGACGGTGAAGGCTCTTCTGGGATTCAGAGAGGCGTCATTGTCAGATTCTCTTTCCAAGACAGTCACAAACAATAACTGCCAGTCTTTGGTATCTCTTTTCAAAAAGGAGTCTATGGTTATTAATATTTTCCAGTCCTTGTTACGGAACTATTATTATTATTATTTGATCACAGTTGAACTATGACTCTCCACACCGAACTGTGGGAATAAAGCGGACAGAGAGGGACTAGATGACCTCTTGAGGTCCCCTTAACATTAACTCTCAACACTCGAGGGACTTCGTTTAGGTATCTTCGAGGAAACAGTCTTCTTATATAGGACTACATTTCCCATAATGCTGAGAATTAAGGAAGTTGTCAAAAAACCATTTACGAAGGTTAACAACAGTCTTCTTATATAGGACTACAGTTCCCATAATGCTGATTATGGGAGTTGTAGAAAAACCATTTTAAAAAGTTCACAACAGTCTTCTTATAGAGGACTACAATTCCCATAATGCTGAGAATTAAGGGAGTGGTAGAAAAACTATTGAAAAGGGTTAACAGTCTTCTTATATAGAACTACAGTTCCCATAATGCTGAGGATTATGGGAGTTGTAGAAAAACCATTTACAACGGTTAACAACAGTCTTCTTATATAGGACTACAGTTCCCATAATGCTGAGAATTAAGGGCATGTAGAAAAAAAACATTTTAAAAAGTTAACAACAGTCTTCTTATATAGGACTACAGTTCCCATAATGCTAAGGATTAAGGGAGTTGTAGAAAAACTATTGGAAAAGGTTAACAACAGTTTTCTTATATAAGACTACAATTCCCATAATGCCGAAGATTTTGGGAGTTGTATAAAAACCATTTACGAAGGTTAACAACAGTCTTCTTATATAGAACTACAATCCCCATAATGCTGAGGATTAAGGGAGTTGTAGAAAAACAATTTACAAAGGTTAACAAGTCTTCTTATATAGGACTACATTTCCCATAATGCTGAGGATTATGGGAGTTTTGGCCCACTATAAAAAAGGTAAACAACTTCAAAACTCTGCCCTTAACAAACATGAGGAAAAATTACTACTGAAAAAGGCACCCGACTTCTTATAGGACTCCCGTTCCCATAATCCAGCCAAGGTGTTGGGAATGACTGGAATCCACAAAAAAAAGGGTTAACATTTCCAAGCTCTGCCTTGAACAAACATGGGAAAGAATTTGATAACAAGGGGAAAATTCCCAGTTGGGTCGGATGGGATATCAGTCTTGTTTATTTTGCATCCTTCGGAAATAACTTGTGGGAGTCAATGAGCGAGAGTTTGCCGAGCTGATGTTTTGCAGAAAGGTTTTCCCTTTCTTGTTGTCACTTCCTTGGTCTTAATTTAAATCTGTCATCGCTGGTTTGCTTGGTGCTGCGAGGGGGGTCTCCAACGGGAAATCATGAGGATGGTTTCATGCTGAATTGTTGCTCCGTATTTTGTGTTTTGTAATAAAAGCGTCGCTGCCGGCAAGAACTCCTGGCGCAGAAGAAGGGATGCGTTTGGTCTCTCGTTCTTTATGGAATGCTTGCAAATCTTCTGTTTCTGGACGCGGGCCCATAACCCCCCTCGAGGTTGTTCATAACGACACGTTTCCTCCCTCTCTGGTGTCGGTCATGGGTTGGCCTCCTTTCCGGCCTCTTCTTGGGGCAGCAAGAGTTTGGTCAGTTGTTGCTCTGGGACGGTCAGCTCCTGGCAAGTGCCGAGGGCCCGGCTGAGGTAGATGGCCAGGATGTGTTTGCACTGCGGGAGAAAAGGAGGAGGAACTTCCCTCAATACTGGATTGAAACTGACTTCAGTGATACCTGGATGGGAGTAGATGCCTTCCCTGTCCATCCGCCAGTCTCCCAAGGCCTTTCCCCGGTCATTTTATATTACCGGATCCCTTTTGTAGCTAGGCACTGAACCTGGGATCTTCATGGATGAGATCCACTATGGGAGGGGTGTGTACCTCAGCAGAAACAGGCTTAATCCATATCTATCTCCATCCATGCCTCCATCCCTCCACCCACCCATGCTTCCTTCCTTCCACCCTTCCATTGCTTCTATCCATCCTTCCTTCCATGCTACCTTTCATCCAGCCATCCATGCTCCCTTCCTTCCTTCCATCCAATCATGCTTCTATCCATCAATTCTTCCTTCCATCCATCTTTCCTTCCATGCTTCCTCTCCATCCATCCATTCATCCATCCTTCCTTCCTTCCACCCACCCACCCATCCACCCACAATTCCTTCCATCCATCCATCCATCCATCCACCTTCCTTCCATCAATCCTTCCACCCACCCACCCATAATTCCATCCATCCATCCATCCACGCTTCCTTCCTTGCTTCCTTCCTTGCTTCCATCCATCCATCTGTGTTTCCTTCCACCCACCCATAATTCCTTCCACCCATAATTCCTTCCATCCACACTTCCTTCCTTCCTTCCTTCCTTCCATCCACCCATCATCCATCCATCCATCCATGTTTCCTTCCACCCACCCACCCATAATTCCTTCCATCCATCCATCCATCCACCCACCCATTAATCCTTCCATCCATCCATGTTTCCTTCCACCCACCCACCCACCCACCCATAATTCCACCCATCCATCCATTTATAAATCCTTCCTTCCTTCAATTCATCCATGCTTCCTTCCTTTCTTCCATCCATCCTTCCTTCCTTTCATGCTACCTTTCATCCTTCCATCCATCCAATCATGCTTCCATCCATCCTTCCTTTCTTTCATGCTTCCATCCATCCATCCACCCATCCTTCCTTCCATGCTTCCTCCCATCCATCCATGCTTCTATCTATCCATTTTTCCTTCTTTCCATCCATCTATCCTTCCTTTCATGCTTCCTTCCTTCCATCCATCCATCAATTCTTCCATCCATCCTTCCATGCTTCCTTCCATCCATCCATCCTTATATCCATCCTTCCTTCCTTTCTTACTTGTAAGTCACCCTGACTCCTGTTTGGAGGGGGCGAGATATACAGATTATTATTATTATTATTATTATTATTATTATTATTATTACTACTACTACTACTTCCTTCCATCCATCCATCCATCCATCCATCCATCCATCCATCCATCTGTGCTTCCTTCCTTCTAAAGCAGTGGTTCTCAACCTGTGGGTCTCCAGGTGTTTTGGCCTACAACTCCCAGAAATTCCAGCCGGTTTACTAGCTGTTAGGATTTCTGGGAGTTGAAGGCCAAAACATCTGGGGACCCACAGGTTGAGAACCATTGTTCTAAAGCAATGCTGTGCCACTGAGCCATAGTTGAATAAGGTTCTAATCTTCATGGTTCTGAATGCTGTTCTGGGGTCTCAGCGAGGAAGGGCCCTTTCCCTTCTGCTGTGCTGGAGACGCCAAGGAGGTTGAGCCTAGGGTGATCTGCATACAGGGCACAAGCAGCAACACCTTTCCTTCCCAGCTTCCCTTCCATCCTTCGGGTCTGGGCCACTCACCACCAAGCGCTCGCCCTTTCGGAGGACGGAGAAAGTGAAGGCCGGGCAGGAGCAGAAATGGCAGAAGGCATAGCAAGTGTAGAGCTTCCCTGAGCTGCCAGCCACCTGCAGAAAGAGAAGAAGAGAAGAAGAAGAAGAAGGAAAAGGAGAAGGAGAAGATGGAGAAGGAAAAAAGGAGAAGGAAGAGGAGAAGAAGGACAAGTAGCAGGAGGAGGAGGAGGAAGAGAAGAAGGAAAAGGACAAGGAAGAGGAGAAGGACGAATAGCAGGAGAAGGACGAGGAAGAGAAGAAGGAGAAGACGGAGAAGGAGAAGAAGGAAAAGGAAGATAAGAAGGACGAGGAGGAGGAGGAAGAGAAGAAAGAGGAGAATAAGGAGAAGGAAGAGGAGAAGGATGAGTAGCAGGAGGAGGAGGAAGAGAAGATCGAGAAGATGACGGAGAAGGAGGAGAAGATGAAGGAGAAGGAAGAGGAGGAGAAGGACGAGTCCCAGGAGGAGGAGGAGGAAGAAGAGAAGAAGATGAATGAGATGGAGAAGGAAGAGGAGAATGACAAGTAGCAGGAGGAGGAAGAAGAAAAGGAGAAGATGAAAAAGAAAGAAGAAGGGAAGAAGAAGAAGATGAAGGAGAAGAAAGAGGAAGAGGAGGAGGAGGAGGAGACAATAAAACCACACAATTTAGTTTAAGTAGATGCTTGATGGATTCCAAATAATATTGCAGAATCAGAGACAGGGAAGAGATCCCAAGGGCCACCCAGTCCAACCCCCTTCTGCCCTATAGGAAGACCCAATCCAAGCCCTCTCGAGAGATGGTCCTCCATCTTAATTAATAACAACTAATCTGAAGTTAGATGCAGCCCACTGTAGTTTCTGGAGAGAGGAACAATTCGTTCTGAAAAGCATCCAAACTTCCAGAAGGAAGGGTCTGGTCCATTTGTCCTCAGTTCACCCCAGAGAAGAGGGAGGGGGTGACTTAAGGGGGCCAGAAACGGCTGCGGAAACGCTGGCCAAGAGACACATCTCTTGGAGGGTCTGTCTGTCCTGGTTCCTCCCGCAAAGACCCCCGAGGCAGAGAGGAAATGGCTTTCCAATGATCCGCAGCGGAGGCCGTCTCTTCCTCCAAGGAAGCCCTGGCTCCGGATCAACTGACGAAAGGCCCTCTTTGCTTTTAGCGTGGAACTCTAGACCTAATACATAATCATTTGGCTGCTCTAATCCATTTATTGCTACGAGAGGACAAACGCCCCCCCCCCCCCCCGACTCAAGATAATTAAGACAGAAGAGAGGCTAACAATCAAATAAAGCAAAGGAGACGAAGGAGAAGAACAAAGCAGCGGAACATTAGTTGGAAAACTCCCCCCTAAAAAAAACAAACTAAAACACCCCAATGTTTGGCTCAAACAAACATGGAGTCATGGCCAAAGCTTGCTGGGTTATTACAGTTATAGCTCAGGAAATGTAATTACTTAATAGGCTGGGCTTGGGAACGAGGTTTTGGAAGCCGTCAGACTGAGGTTCTCAAATATTATCGAGTCTGCAATAATGTAATTGAGACTACTCTTCCCTTACAAAGCCCAGGATTGCACATAGTAATAATAATAATGTTATCTATCTATCTATCTATCTATCTATCTATCTATCTATCTATCTATCTACCTATCTATCTACCTATCTATCAATAATGTTATCCATCCATCCATCCATCCATCCATCCATCCATCCATCCATCCATCCATCCATCTATCTATCTATCTATCTATCTATCAATAAATATAAATAAAAACGTAATGTTAGTTTGTGGGATTAACATAACTCAAAAACCACTGGACAAATTGACACCAAATTTGGACACAAGACACCTAACAACCCAATGTACGTCCTTCACTCAAAAAAATGATTTTGTAATTTGGGAGTTGTAGTTTCTGGGATTTATAGTACACCCACAATCAAAGAGCATTCTGAACTCCACCAACGATGGAATTGAACCAAACTTGGCACACAGTTCTCCCATGATTAACACACAAAGCACATAGACTGGGCCACAGCAACATGTGGCAGGGAATACATACACACACACACACACACACACACACACACACATACATAGACGAGCTTGGCGTTTCCCGGGTTATTTGAAAAAGTCAATTTTGTAACTGTACTAAATGCATAAGGTTGTGGGTGAACTACAACGCCCGTCATGCCAAATTAATCCCCTGAAACTCCATCACTACTTTGTCATATTGGGCAACTTTGCCTTAGATGCAGCATCGATGGGCTTCAGTGTGCTCTCTGGCTGCAGGGTAAACTACAACTCCCACTACGGTGAGCCAGTCCCTTCAAACCCCTCCAGCAGGTTGAGTGAGTCATGGGGGTTCTGTGTCAAGTGTGGTCCAAGTCCATCATTGGTGGAGGGCACAGTTTCTGTGGTTGTGGGTGAACTACAACTCCCAGAAAGGAAGGTCAGTTCCTCCCAAACCCTTCCACTAATCAAATTTTGGCATATCAGATCTGTGTGCCAAGTTTGGTCCTCTGGATGTAGTTTGGGTTCTCTGGATGTAGGTGAACTACCTAGCTGTGGACTAGATGCCCTTGAAAGACCCAATCTGGCTCGGCGACACTGTCCTATCTCTGCCCCTTGCCATCGCGCTTCAGAGAGAAGGAGGCTGGAAGAACTCAGGTTTGAAGCCTGTCTTGTAGATCTTGGGCTGTATCGAGACACAAAGACAAGAGGGAATCCTTTGTACCTGGTACACGGTCCTCCCGCTGGGAGACGCAAGGCGAGTGACCGACTGCCGGTCGACTAAATCCAAAGCCGGGACGGCAGAAGCGCCGAAGACGAATTTGAGCCTGGGAGGGAAGAATGGAAGGTTGAGCTTTGCCAGAGACACTCTCCCAAGCCTTCAAATGCATTGAAAAACCTCAAAGGAGAGAATAATCACACCCTAGAGCTGGAAGGGACTCCAAGGGCCATCCAGTCCAACCCCCTCCTGCCATAAAGGAAAAGCAGCCTCCTTCTTTCAACCAGAGGCTCGATGGACATCTGCCAAGGGGGCTTTGATGGTGCTTTTTCTGCACGGGAGAAAGAGGACTGGGCTGGATGGCCTCTGGGGTCCCTTCCGTTCTGTTTCAATGAGACCACTCTCCTGGCTGTCTATGGCAGGCCACCACACACTAAACACTACGCAATCAAGTTTGAAAAACATTCAGTTTCTGGTTTGAAAGTGTTATTTCCTGTTTCACCAAACGGCACTTACTTTGAAAGTGGTTGTTCTACTACGCTATCTGCCTGCCTGCCTGCCTGCCTGCCTGCCTGCCTATCTATCTATCTATCTATCTATCTATCTATCTATCTATCTATCTATCTATCTATCTATCTATCTATCTATGCCTTCTTTATCTATGTTTTTTCTATCCTTCTATCCTTCCATCCATCCATCACTCCAGCTCATCTATCTATCTATCTATCTATCTATCTATCCATCTATCTATCTATCTATCTATCTATCCATGTCTTCTCTATCTATCTATCTATCTATCTATCTATCTATCTATCCATCCATCCATCCATCCATCCATCCATCCATGTCTTATCTATCTAATTTCTATGTTTTCTCTATCTATCTATCCACCCACCCATCCATCTATCTATGTTTTCTCTATCATCCATCCATCCCTCTCTCCAGCTTATCTATCCATCCATCCATATCGACGGGCCAATATTGTCTATTGTGTATGTTGTTTTTTATGGTTTTAAACCGAATATTGTTGTTGTTGTACTGTTGTAAACCGCGTTGAGTCGCCAATTTAGGCTGAGAAACGGCGGTATACAAGCACAGTAATAAATAAATAAATAAATAATAAATACTTGTCTTCTCTATCTGTGTCTGTTTTCTCTATCTATCCATCCATCCATCCATCCATCCATCCATCCATCTATGTCTTTTCTATCTATGTTTTCTCTATCCCTCCTTCCAGCTTATCTATCTATCTATCTATCTATCTATCTATCTATCTATCTATCTATCTATCTATCTATCTATCCACCCACCCATTCATCTATCTATGTTTTCTCTATCATCCATCCATCCCTCTCTCCAGCTTATCTATCCATCCATCCTTGTCTTCTCTATCTCTATCTATCTATCCATCCATCCATCCATCCATCCATCCATCCATCCATCCATCCATGTCTTTTCTATCTATGTTTTCTCTATCCATCCCTCCCTCCCTCCTTCCAGCTTATCTATCTATCTATCTATCTATCTATCTATCTATCTATCTATCTATCTATGATTTCTCCATCCATCCATGTTTTATCTATCAATCAATCTCTCTCTCTCTTCTCTATCTATGTTTTCTCTATCCATCCATCCATCGATCCCTCCCTCCTTCCAGCCTATCTATCTATATCTATCTATCTATCTATCTATCTATCTATCTATCTATCTATCTATCTATCTATGATTTCTCCATCCACCCATGTTTTATCTATCAATCAATCTCTCTCTCTCTTCTCTATCTATGTCCCCGTATGAAAGCCTTCACTTGGGTGGTGGGCAAGTCAGTGTTGTTGGAGGACATTGGCAGGCCTCTTGGACATGTTTAGAGTGCTCACTCTAACATGCAATGTTATTGGAGTGAGGGCCATTGGTGTCTCCTGAGTAGTGGGAGATAGAGCTGTTTGTGGAGACGGGAGCTTGTCTCTGTAAGTGGACACCCCAGCCATACACACACATATATTCACTTTTACTATGTGTGTATGTGTATATATATTTATGTATCTTTGTGTGTATGTATATATGTGTGTATATATATGTGTGTGTGTGTGTGTCTCCCCATTAATGCAATCGCTGGGCAGTCTGGGTCTGACCCAGAAGGCTCCCAGTTTGGGATGGTCTTGAACTGGGAAAGCCCTACAGAAATGCAGATCCCCGTGTATCCTGTCTTTTCGTGAAATCCTTTGCAAGGTCCGAATGGATATTTGCCAGCCTCGGGGGCCTCCTTTGACGCCTGCAAAAGGGACACAACGGACGTCACAGCTGACCTTCTAATAATCAACCAGAGGTGCCCAAAAGACAGGGAAAACTTCACTGTAATTGTGTGTTTTTATTGGGGGGGGGGGTTACATCCTCATCCGATCTGCCAACGACGGCTTTTCTATTCTGGGAAGAAGGGATGGAATGCCTTCCTTCAGAGCCAAGGACAGAGCGAGAGGGATTTGTGAGCCCTGGACACTCCAGATGACCCTAATCTCTTCTGAAACAGATGGACGGGGCAGAGAACAAGGGCCTGGAATGGGCTCCTTGATGTACTGGCTTTGCATTTCTGTTGGGAAAAGCAAAGGCTTCCCCAGTTCAGGACCATCCCAAACTGGGATCCTTATGGGCCAGGCCCAGACAGGCCAGCAATCGCATTAATGACAATTCATTCGATATTGACCACCATTACGTACTGCTTGCCATTCACACACATAGAGAACATACTCATACATCATCATCATCATTGTTATATATGCATCATTATTATTATTATTATTATTATTATTATTATTATTATTATTATTTGAAACACAACAAAATGAGTCCATAGCAGACAAGATCACTCTGCTGGCTGTTGTAGTGGATCACACATCGGATACTTCCCAAGTGCCTGGGACTGTGTGATGTATTGGCGAATAATGCATGCAGATCCCAGAAAGGTGGCCTTCTGCAGGTGGTAGGTGGTAATTTTGTCAGCACCAATTGTGTTTTAAGTGCAGGCCAAGGTCTTTAGGCACTGCACCCAGTGTGCCGATCACCACTGGGACCACTTTGACTGGGTTGTTGTTGTTGTTATTATTATTATTATTATTATTATTATTTTACTGACATAAAACCACAGTATGTCACAGCAAATAATAATAATAATAATAATAATAATAATAATAATTGTTATTATTATTATTTTCTGGCAAGAGAAGGCTAAGCCAATGGGGCAGACCAAAAATGCCTTATGCTTAGGAAATGAGAAGGCTATCAATTGTATGAGGCACTCATTTCAGTATCAGCAACAATATATATACACACACACACACACACACACACACACACATTCATATTCTATTATTTCATTGATGCTAAGATGCCATGAATTGCAACAGGCACACTCATTTCAGTACCAGCAACAGATACACACACACACACACACACACACACACACACACATACTTGATTTTAGTCAAAAGGTCGAGAAGCGAAATAGAAAGATAGATAGATAGATAGATAGATAGATAGATAAAGAGAGAGATAGAGATAGTATTATTTCATCAATTCAAAGATGTTATCAATGGTGAGACACAGAATAACTTTTGTACCAGTGACAGAAAAAAAAGTGTATTCTGTCACTGGTACTGAAATTAGTGTACCTGTTGCAAGTGATGGCATTCTGATACATATTATATTATGTCATCAATTCTAAGATGCCATCAATTGGGAGATTCAGTACCAGCAACATCTATTTATATATGTAATATACTATAATATATATTATTTTGTCAATTCTAAGACACCATCGATTGTGAGACGCAGACTAATTTCAGTACTAGAAACAACAAAGTCTTGTGTGTTTGTAAAAATCTAAAATCTTAGAATCTCAGAAATACACACACACACATGACTATAATATATAAATACACACAAAAACACACACACATATATAGTATAAGAAATATAATACATATGCACTTACGATTCAAAGATGCACCCTGTTTTCAGAGATGTTTATATGAGGGAAAATACAAGACTTAGGGAATATAATATATGAACACACACACACAGACGAATATAGTGTGTGTGTGTGTGTGTGTGTGTGTGTGTGTATATATATATAAATGTAATGTTCGTTTGTAGGATTAACGTAACTCAAAAACCACTGGACGAATTGACACCAAATCTGGACACAATACACGTATCAGGCCAACGAGTGACCATCACAGCAGAAAACACAGCAAAAGTGAGTTAAAAAGCCACATTTTTTTTAAAAAAAATACATTACAACGCATGGACAAAACCACACGCATACATGCAAACAAACATCTATACAAATATACACCCATACACACACACAAAGCACATATACACAGACTGGGCCACAGCAATGCGTGGCAGGGTTCGGCTAGTTTAGATAGATAGATAGATAGATAGATAGATAGATAGATAGATAGACAGACACACACCTGCGATTCTAAGATGCACCCCATTTTTAGAGATGTTTATATGGGAGGGAGGGAATACAGTACGTAGAGAAAGGGGCCTTCAATGTTTCTAATTACCAAATGGAAGGTGAGCAGAGTGGAAGGTGAGCCCTGGCACTAAAACACATGAGAAGGAAGACGAAGTAACAGCAGAGGGAACGAAGTAAACCCAACGAATAGTTGGAAGCGGTAGTGAGTTGAACCCCTTTGCCCCCAGGCCTGGAGAAGAAAGCCTTCTTCTTTGGCTGCTCCTTTTCAAAGGCATCCTATTCCTCTTCAAAGGCCCCATGGGCAGGAAGTTGGAAGGAGGCCGGATGGAGCAGCTGCGGGAAGAGAAGGCAGAGGGAGGAAGGGACGTGGGAAAAGGAGGGAAGGGATGCGGAGGGAGGGAGGGAGGTCAATGCTCTCCAGCCGCCAAGCATGGACCAGAAGCACGCATTGCATTGCATTGGGCTGCATTGCACTGCGCAGGCCTCTCCCCATCCCGGCCATTGTTATTATGGCTGGAACATCCAGGCTGACCTTGGCAGGCCATTGTCCCAGAGATGCTTTTCTCGGGTCGCCCTGATTTACGTTCTCGATTTCGATGCGATTCCTCCCACGTTGCACTTTTCTATTGTACGCATTTGTTTTTGTTGGTATGCAACTGGCTTATGGCCCGAGCATTAACTATAACTAGTGACTCTTAACTATTTTTGGGGCCGTGGTTTGTTTTTCGATGGCACAACAAGCCAAAATTTCAAGCTGAATTTTGGAGGGGGGGGGGGGGACACTGAGTTTTTAGTGTCATTTTCATTGTATTTATTTATTTCAGTATTTATTTATTGTATTTTAACCATAGCACTGATGTTTAATTGTTATTATTGTCCCATTAATAAAATTAATAACTATAATCATAACTATCATATATATAACTATAACAATAATAATATGAAATATAAATATTATAATAATAGTCCAAAAAAGATTATTATCTATATACATAAAATGTCGTCGACTATGAGACACAGACTAATTTCAGTACTAGCAACAACAAAGTGAGACACACACACACACACACACACACACACACACATCTATAACCAGCTTGGGTCATCATAAGTTTATATATATACATGGAGCGAGAGTTGCCAGATGTTCAAGCTGGGTTTAGAAAAGATATATATAATAAAATATAATATTATAATAATAGTCCAAGAAAGATAATGATCATCTATACACATACATATTATAATAATAGTCCAAGAAAGATAATGATCATCTATACACATAAAATGCCGTCGACTGTGAGACGCAGACTAATTTCAGTACTAGCAACAACAAAGTGAGATACACACACACACACACACATATATAATCAGCTTGGGTATTTAAAAAAGTCCATTTTTTAATTGTACAAAATGTGTAAGGTTGTGGGTGAATTACAACTCCCATCAGGCCAGGATAACTCCGAAAAACTCCATCAGTACTTAAAGAAAAAAAAAAAAAAAAAAAAAAAAAAAAAAAAAAAAAAAAAAAAAAAAAATAAAAAAAAAAAAAAAAAGAAAAAAAAAAAAAAAAAAAAAAAAAAAAAAAAAAAAAAAAAGAAAAAAAAAAAAAAAAGAAAGAAAAAAAAAAAAAAAAAAAAAAAAAAAAAAAAAAAAAAAAAAAAAGAAAAAAAAAAAAAAAAAAAAAAAAAAAAAAAAAAAAAAAAAATCAAAAAAAAACAAAAAAAAAAAAAAAAAAAAAAAAAAAAAATTTAATAAAAAAAAATAAAAAGAAATAATTGTACAAAATGTGTAAGGTTGTGGGTGAATTACAACTCCCATCAGGCCAGGATAACTCCGAAAAACTCCATCAGTACTTAAAGTTTGCTATGTTGGGCAAGTTTGCTCTAGATGCATCATTGCTGGGGTTCAGTGTGCTCTCTAGCTGCAGGGTAAACTGCAACTCCCACGATGGTGAGCCAGTCCCCTCAAACTCCTCCAGTAGGTTGAGTGAGTCATGGGGGTTCTGCATGCCAAGTGTGGTCCATCAACGGCAGGGATCACAGTTTCTGTGGTTGTGGGTGAACTACAACTCCCAGAAAGGAAGGTCAGTTCCCCCCAAATCTGTCTAGTAATCCAATAATAATATATAATATAAATACAAATATAGGAATAATAATAAGTCTGAAAAGTTAACAATACTAACATTAACACTAATAACAATGGTGCAATAATAATAATAATAATAATAATAATAATAATAATGCAAAGACTCTGGCACAAGCAAGTAAAGGTGGTCCAAGTAGTGATAGGCACACTGGGTGCAGTGCCTCAAGACCTTGGCCTGCACTTAAACACAATCGACGCTGACAAAATTACAATCTGCCAGCTGCAGAAGGCCACCTTACTGGGATCTGCACACATTATTTGCTGATACATCACACAGTCCTAGACACTTGGGAATTGTCTGACATGTGATCCAGTACAACAGCCAGCAGAGTGTCTGCTGTGGACTCATCTTGTGTTTCTAATAATAATAATAATAATAATAATAATAATAATAATAATAATAACAACAACAACAACAACAACAACAATAAATATAATAATAATGGTCCAAAAATATTATCATAATAAAAAATATATTAAAATACATATAAATATAATAATGGTTCACATAATACAATTATAATATAATATAATATAATACATAAATGTAATAATAATGCTCCAAAAGGAGTTCCAGAAAGGATATGGGGAGCATCTGTCTTTTCCTTTTTGGGGGGGCCTCATTCTAAGGAATTAGGAATCCGTAACCGATAAGGATAAACCAAACTGGAACTGAAATGAGCCCACATGTCAGGCAGCAATAAGGGTGAGGCGTGCAAAACACACATTTTGTGGTCGAACCAAGACGCAGAAACGGATCACAAGACACACACGGAAAGACTCAAGTGGGATACTCACGCCAAGAGGAGATCGTCAGGAACTGCAAAACAAAGAAGAGAAGAAGGGCAAATCGGATTAATTTGGGACATGATGCTTAATACTTCAGAAACAAACATATTCAGCCCCAAAGGGACGGACGGATGGACACACACACACACACAACGAGACTGATCCTGACATCAGCTTTGCAAGACCTGGGTTGGCTTGGTTCTCCTATGGCTGCTGTCCTGGTTGTTGCGCTTCTTCACCTTGTGTGTCAAACCCAACATAGAGTTTATTGAAGCCTGCCTTTCCTGGGAGTTGCCACCAAGGATGGGTTTTAATGCATATATTATATCAGGCCTTCATGACAGGAGGCCCCTAGGAAGGAGGGAGGGAGAAAAGGAAAAAAGAGAGAAAGAAAAGGAAACAGGAAGGAAGGAAAAGAGGTATGAAAAAGAAATGGAAGAAGAGAGAGGGAGAAGGGAAAGGAGGGAGAAAAGTAAGGAAGAAAAGAAAGAAGGAAGGGAGAAAAGGAGGGAAAGGAAAGGAGGAAGGAAAAAGAGCAAAGGAATGAGGGAAGGAGGAGAAAAGGGATTTTAAAAGAAAGGAATGGAGGGAAAAAAGGAGGGAAAGGAAAGGAGGAAGGAAAAAGAGAGCGAAGAAATTATGGAAGGAGAAAAGGAAGGGAGGAAGAAAGGAAGGGAGAAAAGGGAGGAATGGAAGAGGAAGGAAAAAGAGAGCGAAGGAATGAGGGAAGGAGGAGGAAAGGGATTTAAAAAGATAGGAAGGAAGGGAGAAAAAAAGGGAAAGGAAAGGAGGAAGGAAAAAGAGCAAAGGAATTAGGAAGGAGGAGAAAGGGAGGGAAGGAGGGAGGGAGGGGGGAGGGAGGGGAGGAGGGAGAGGAAGGAAGGAAGGAAGGAAGGGAAGGAAGAAGGAGGAAGGAAAGGAAGGAAGGAAGGAAGGCAAGAAAAGAGAGGGATGGAGGAAAGAGAGGAGAGGAAAAAGACAAAGGAAGAAGGGAAGGAGGAGAAAAGGGAGGAAGAAAGGAAGGAAAGAAGGGAAAAAAGGAGGGAAAGGGAGGGAAGAAGGATGGAAGGAAAGGAAAGTGAAGGGATGAGGGAAGGGAAAAAAAGGAGAGAAAGAATGAGAAAGAAAGAAAGAGATGTATGAGGAAAAGGAAGGGAAAAAGAAAAGGAAGTAAGGAATGCTGAAGGTAAGGAGTCAGTGAAAAAGGAAGGAAGGAAAAGAGAGGGGGGCAGAAAGAAAAAGAATGAAAGAGGAAAGATATAAGGGAATGCAAGGGAAGAAAGAAAAAAAGAACGAAAGATGTATGAGGGAAAGCAAGGAAAGAAGGATGGTAGAAGGGAGGGAAGGAGGGAGAAATTGAAGGGAGGAAGAAATAAAGGGAAGGAAGGAGAAGAAAGAAGGGAAAAAGAAAGAAAAGAAAAGGGAGGGAGGGAGAAAAGAATGAAAGACGGAAGTGAATGAGGAAAAGCAAGGGAAGAAGTAAAGAAAAAATAAAGGGAAGGAAGGAAGAACACAGGATGGGAGAAAGGGAAGATTGAAAGAAGGAGAAAG